AAAAAAAAAAAAAAAAAAAAAAAGAATGCTGGTGCCCCTGGAGTGAGCATGGGCCCAGGCCAGACATTGAGGCCCACTGACACTCAGGAAGGGCAGAAGCAGATGGCCAGAGTCTACTGCGAGGAGTCCCCAAAGAGAGTTGAGTTCAGTGGGGCCCCCAGATCCAGCTGGAACCACTGCCTAGGCTCCCCTTAAGCCTCCCCCCCACCCCGCCCAAATCAAGGAGGTTTGGGGATCTCCTCTCTGGGAGGTAATGAAGAGGAGAGTCTACATCGTTCTGTTCCCTCCTTTGGGGGTTTGGAGGGAGCCCTGCCTGCCACGACATGCCCTGATCTTCTGATGCCCATGGACAAGGTACCCCTTCCTTCCTCCATTGCAGCTCACAGTCACCTGCTGCCATCTCACAGAACCTGTCTGCCAGTTCCTACTCTTGAGTTTCCTATGCTGGGTGGGAGAGCACTGAGAGGCTGGAGCCTCAAGAGCTCCAGCTGACATGAGTACAGCAGCCCACGCTGCCCCCTGGGCCCGGAGACCTTGGTGGCTGGAAGGACCTGAGGGTCCCCACACCTCTCAATAGCCGCCCAAATCTTCAGGCCATCGTCCCGGTAGTGGTAGTTGGGGATGTTCAGGACACCGCGAGCCCGTAGGCTATCCGGCAGGCAAAAATCCGTGTAGGTGAAGTGGGCCAGCCCTGTGCTCATGAGGTAGATGAGGCCGCGCCTACCGATGGATGTGACCTGGGGACACAGCACACAGCTGGACTTCCCAAGCTGGCCCACACCCCACCCACTGTGCCTGGAGACCAGCTGGGACTAATGGCTCAGCTCAGGGAGGGACACATGCGATTTAGCAAGCACTCAAGGACCACGAATCAAATACTCCCACGGGCCTGCTTCGCGGACTGAGGACCTACAGTGTGCATGGGAGAGGGAATTGAGGTATTGATAACTACAAGAATGGCAACGCAGGAGAGATGAGATCTCAAGGATCAGCTAGAAGCAGTGCTGACCTAAGGCCGACTTGCCCATTGAACCTACTTTTGAGGGTGTGTAGTCCACGCATGGGATTGGCCAGCTGGGTCAAGGCTTAGGGGAGGGGCAAACAGAAGACTTGCAAAGAGGCGTAGCTTATGGGAAGAGGCAGGAGAGGACTGATTACACAAGGGTCTTGGGAGCAAGAGCAAAACTTGTGGGCAGGGCAAAGCATACTTAGGGGCGGGGCCTTATGGTCGTAGCGGGGAGGCTGCACCTTGTCCACGAGGCCTTCTGGGTTGAGCAGCGTGGCCCTTGCGATGGTGTTCACCTGCAGCGTGTAGCGAGTGTGGGGAAGCAGTAGCTGCGAGAGGAAAGAGGTCTCGTGAGCCGAAGGTCAGGGAAGGCCTGCGGGCCCCGCCCCCTTAGTCCCGACCCTGTGTCCCCGCGGACCTTGTAGACTGGATGACAGAGGGGCAGCTGACGCAGGGTGGCCATGGAGAAGGCCTCGCATAGCAAATGCGTGCACAGAAAGTGCGTGTTGTTCTCGTGCACCAAGAATTCAGAGTTGCGCACCCACGTCTTGGCCAGCAGCCAGTCCAACTCGCAGTCAGTGGGCAGGAAGATGGGGCTCTCAGGCCCTGGAGTCTGGCTGAGCTGTGTGTGAGAGTAGTAAGAGGTGTGGATCAAGTCTAGGAGCCTGAGGCTCCACCCCCTAAAGTCTCGCCCCCAGGCTCACCTGGATGGCCAACGGCAGTAGCACCCCCTGCGGGTTGAGCCACAACAGGCAGAGTGGAGCAGCCACGTACTGTTGGAGACCGTTTATGCAATGGACAGGGGCCTCCGCCAGGATCCAGTAGTCCGCTAGGAAAATGTGCCCCCTCTACAGAAGGCACACAAAGACTTAAAAAGCCCTCTGCCCCACTCTGTGTCCCTCTTTTCTCTCTGTTCTCCTCAACAAGGAAGAGCTGAGGTCCCCAACTCGAGATTCAGCAATTCTTGTTGCCTGCACTAATGGGCAAAGCTCGGTACCGCACCCTTCCCAGAATGTCCGGAATGAGGTCTAGATGAGTCTGTCATTGTGTCATCTCTCACCCGGCCTCTGGGCTTGAACAAGCCAACTTCCTCTGCTCCTCCCCCAATACCTTGTCCCTCCTACACCCTCAGCTCGAAAGGCATCCTCTCCTGAAATCTGACCTCAGTGTATCCAACAACAGGAAAATCAATACACAAGGAGTTTACCAACCACGGCCCCAACTTCGGAGAATGTCTGAGGGCTTGGCTGTCAGAGACTAGGTTGTCATCTATTCCAATCCCCAGAGTTCCTCGTTCTTTGTAATCGTTCCTGCTACACCTGACAATCTTGTGGCTGGCCTGTCCTAAAGCAGCTGTCTTTGGCTTCAACACTTGGCATCTCTGTGACCCTAAAAGAAGCCTCAAACCATCCCAAGTCCCACCTGGACCTCCTCCATATTTGTTCCTCTTGAAAGGTAGACAGGTCTGTTCTGTGGGTGAGGCCTACAGACCTGGACCACTCCACCTCTTCCCGCCACATACAACCCTAGTTCATAACGGCAACCCACCTGCCTCCCTCCTATTACGTCCACTGCCAAGGCCCTCACCCACCTCTAGCTCTGTTTGTAGGCAGGTGCCTGGTCCCAGCAAAGATGCCACCATGTCATTGGTGACAGGCAGCTTGCTGGGCAAGCTGGAGAGGCAATGGAGCATGACAGGATTGACACCATTCAGGTACTGGTACCCAAAGAAGCTGTCCTCACACCAGTGCTCTGTGACGTACTCTGGGGGGGGGGGCGGCAAGAGAGGGAACCAGTAGGTCTGGAAACTACTTTCCAAACTCTGGTCCTGCCCATCCCTTTGCTCCTCGTTATAGCTTCAGCTTTCGTCCCAGCAACAGTACAAGACGGATATAACTACATTTTCAGTTGAATGATGGACACTGAGAGCCAGTAAGGTGGTGTGGCAGTTCTGGAATTAGACCCAAATTCTCTCTGACCCCAAATCCCAGAACACCTGGCAATAGGAGTAGGGAAGGGAGTCATATGGCCCTGATCAAAATCAGGACTTCTTAAATGACCATGAGTAGTTTCTGGGTAAGTAGAGTTTCTCTGTATCCTCTGAGGAGGTTCCTGGGCTCCTGAGGGAAATCTGAAAGATGCTCCTGGTGAAGCCAGGAGCCCATCCCATTGGAATCCAGCATCTGACATGAGCATGAGATACAGTGAAAGACAGGCACCCCGTGCCTGGCCCTGCACACCTGTGGTGAAGGTCTTGTGACACTAGAAGATGTTCCGGATGTCATCCAGCTTCTTCCAGGAGCCCCTGCGGTCTAGCAGACCTCGAATCTTCATGCCCAAGGACCTGAGGGACAGAAGAAGGTGAGAGCTGGGGGTGGTGACCAGTACGGGGTCACTGTCCATCAGCCTAGAGAGAACCAATAGGGCCATTTCCCAATTATAAGTGCCTAACAACCCACACAGGAGAAAAGTCCAGCATTCAAGTGACGCCCCACAGGCTTCAGGGTCCTGCTTCAAGCACACCCATCCCTGAGTGGAAGGAGTGCCTGTGTGAGCAAAAGTGGTACCACCCTCACTGGTGTTTTGACCTGCTTTCTTCAAACTTCTAAAATCTTATAGACCTTCCATAACTCCTTTCTCCTATGAGAAAGCCTGCCAAGCCTGGGTCAGGCATGATGCTGCCCTCCAGCAACTCCCCATAACCTTAGCAGTGTTTTCTCCCACCCCTTCCATGCACTAGGCAAAACCAAGCAAAGCCTGTTTTCCAAACATAATCAATAACTTGATTTGTTTACTCCTGGACTTGTGAAAGTGGAGTCGACAAGCTGGGGGTGGAGGGAGCTTCTGTGTCTTGTAGATGTCTCTACTATCTATCTGGTTTTTATGTTTCGCCCATGAGCATCAGAGGGAGAAAAAAAATCTTGAAATAAGGTTGGCTTTCCCTACTTCTAGGGCTTCACTCAAGCTTGGTCTCTGCTGGAAAGCTATTGCTATGGGTCAGTCTGGTCTTCCAGGTGTGATGCAGATGCCAGTTCATGTATGAGGCCTTAACCGACCTCCCCTAAGACCCACGCCTTGGGGCATTCATAATTCCCTGTGCATCTCTTCCTTCCTATTCAACTGCAAGCTCCCTAGGAAAAGGACTCTATGTATCTTGCTGTGACCACCTCCTCATAAGCACACACCAAATGGGCTGAACTAAAGGAAAGGGACTGGAGTTCAGATCAGGGAGGTCTGTAGCAAGGGGTCACCAGGACAGTTAGCTGTGCAATGGTGCTGATGTGCTCTGGAGGGTGTGGGCAGCTAAGGAAGGCAGGGGGTGGGGGTGGATTCATGACCTTATAGACCCAAGGTCAAGGGCATCCGTGCTCCCTTAAATGTTTGCTCTCTTACTGCACAAGCATTTGCTGAGAACTTTCCAGGCACAACTTTCCAGGAGCCCAAACAAACGAGAGCTGAGCCCAGTAGCACAAATCTGTATAGTCCCAGCTACTCATCTGGCTAAGGCAGGGAAGATCCCATGCCCAAGGCCTGCCTGAGCTAAGGAGAAAGACTGGGAGAGCACAGCCACAAAGGTAAAGATCAAGGAGGCAAATAAACAAAACGAGGGCCTGCCACCATTGTCCTTCAGAATATACCTTGAAGCCACCCTTCATTTGACTCGCCCTAAGTTTCTTCCAGGCTGCTAAGAACAGCCCTCCTTTCCCTCTGACCTTACTGAGAACCCCTAGCTGGTGACTTCATTCCTGCTTAGACCTTCATATCCTTCTCAGACTCAACTTGGGGTGTCTCTACCTTCCCAGATGTCCCACGGTCCTTCCTGATGATAGGTCCTTGTCCTGAAGTCTGACCCCTGTGGCTGCTGCACATACCATCCATCACAGGCAACTATTCATGCCTACCTACACACTCTTTCACTCATCTTTTTTTTTTTTTTAAAGAATCATTCTAGAAACACATGCACAGGAAATCAAGACCCAGTTCTTGTCTTGTCCTCTTTGGTGTCCCCACATGTTTTCTCATAGAACTCTTGGCTCACTGTCCCCATCCTGGACTCATCCATCCCTTGCTGCCCTCTCATCTCTTTCCTCCCAGACTTGTTTCAATCCTGCCCTTCTAACTAAGAGCCACATCCTATAGCCTGCTGGCCTCTGTCTTCTTCATGTATCCAGGGGGCTACTGGACTCCTCCCTCTAGTCATACCACATTTAAAATCCTATCTGTTGACTTAGGAACAGATAGTGACTGCCCTGGTAACTCATTAACTATACCCATGCCTCCTTAGTGATCCCATAGATTCCTTCTACCAATAGGCATCTCCTTGCAGGGAGAGGCTATCGAGAGATTTTGTGCTTGGCATTATCTCCCTTGCCTTTCCTTAAAACTTATGGTGGAGGTTGGAGAGATGTCCCAGTGACTACAACCCAGGCCCTTCTCTCAGAGAGCCTGGGTTCGATACCAGTACACACACTCAGCAGCTCACAACCACCCATAACTGATCTGATGCCATCTTCTGGCCTCCGTGGGCACCTGCACACTTATGGCATGCACTCACATGGGCACACATAAATTTTTATAAATAATAAAATTTTAGACTTATGATGTCAGAATGAGTGGGTCATTTTACCCCTCAGGCAATTATCCAGAGACTATGTAAAAAAATTAAGGTTTCATTAGGCAGGATATGGTGGTGTAGGACTTTAATACCAGCACTTCTCTGTGAGTTTGAGGCCAGCCTGGTCTACATAGTGAGTTCCAGGACAGCCAGGGCTATGTAGAGAAACTGTTTCAAAACACAAAAGAAATTAAAGTTACACATGCAGAAAGTATGGACTTTGGAGTCGAGACTGAGATGATCTGGCTTCACCTCCTCAAGACTTAAGGACAGAGCCTCTCTATCCAACTTCATATGGTCCCTGAGACCCATGCTCTGCCCAGGGTAAGTGCCCTGAAGAACAGGCATAGGGGAGGAGACTGAAGGGCAAGGCAAAGGGAACCTAGGAGAATGGAAAAGAGGAGTGTGAAGATCTGTGAGAGGGGGAGTGGGGGCAGAGAGGAGGGCTGGGAACTGTCCTGTGAGATGGCATGAGTAGGAAAGAAGGGACAGTGAGCAGAACAGCAGGAGAGACAATGTGCTCACGCAGGAAGAGCATTGAAGATCAGTGAGGCCGTCTTGGTGGCTGAGTAGCGAATGTTGGGCTCCATGTGCAGCAGAGATGGGATGTCAACTTTCATAGGAAAGCCAGGCAGGTACCGGTTCCCTGAGCTGAGGAGAGGCAGGGACAGAGGGTAGGAACCAGTCAGTGGACCTGTAGCGGGTCCCCCTTAATTCCTTTTCTCAATCTTGTCCCCAGATTTTCTAACTCTCCTCTCATTATTATTTCAGCCTGCCCCTTCTGCTTCAAATCAGAAGACACGTCTTATCCTTTCCACTAAACTCTTGGGGACCATCACTGGTCCCCCTATAGACTCTGATACCTCCCTCCATGCTGCTGGGCCCCATCTCAACAAACCATCTACATCCCTCCCCTCCACACCCTATCCAAGCATTGGTTCTCACTTGTCATCCGGGTCTGCACAAGGTACTGTCTTAGTCAAGGCAAATTTCTTATCTGACTCCATCTCCTCAAAACTGCTGACATCCACCATTCGAGGGAAACCAGGAGCATAGATCTTCCAGCTGTCCCAGGGGAGGAGGCAGAAAAGCTAGGTTAATCTTGGGATGAACAGAATCCTTGGCTTCTAAAAATATGACTTCAGGTGACCCCCTGATACTTCCTGCTTCTGGGTATGTGTCAAAGAACTGGATTTTCTCTGAGAAGGCACTGAACTTCAGATGGGGAGTGAAACTCAGGATCTTTGCATGCTAAGCACATACTGTACTGCCAAACCACAGCCCTAAGCCCCAGAGTAGCACTGGAGGATGACACAATCCCCACACTGATTTAGACATGGGCTTACATTATGATCAAGATAAACCAAGTGTGACAACACGCACCTGAAATCCCAACAATTTAAAGGCTGAGATAGGCCAGCCTGGGCTTCATGGTAAGACATCCCCAACCCCAATCTCAAGAAAAAGAAAAAGTACGGTAAGTTTGAGGGTGCACTAAGATTGGTAAATATTGGAGCCGTTTCCAATATGGGGATCTGGCTTACAAGAGGGGCAGTTCGAGGATGAGAATGGCTAGTTGATGGTCTTGGATAATCATTGGATTTGGGGGTTGTTTTGTTGTGGTTGTTGTTTGTGGGGGACTTTTTGTTTGTCTTGGGGAGGTGGTTTTTGAGTTTTGTTTTTTTGTTTTTGTTTTTGTTTTCAAGACAGGGTATCACTGTGCCTTGTCTATTCTGAAACACTCTATAGACCACGGTGGCCTGGAACTCACAGAGATCTACCTGTTTCTGCCTTCTGATTAAAGGCATGCTCTACCACCGCCTGGCAGATTTGGGGTTTTATTCGAATTTGTAAGGGACCAAACTTGGGTCTTAGAAAATGCTAGGCAAGCTCTCTACTCCTGAGTACAGCTACATTCTCAGCCCAAGATAACTGTCAATGTAGGTAGTCTGGGTGGAATTAAGGCTCAGAGACGATCCTGATCAGAATTGAGTTCCCATGATTTTAACTGAAATCAGAGTTGGGAACAATCTGAGTGAGGCTGAAGTAAGAATAAAGATGGGGCAAAAAGTCAAATTAGGCCACCCTCACCGATAACATTCTTGGCGGGCCTGGAGTTCCCGTTTCCTGTGATCCAGAAGGAGGGGGAGAGAATCCTGACAGATGGTTCTTGCTGTAGGGAATGAAAAAGCACCCTTCATATAAATCTCTTCTCAAACAGTACTTCCCCCTGCAAACGCTGGCTGAGCCCTCTAAGCCTTGGTCTATGCTATCTCCATGTGCATCACTTTGGGAACCATCCACACACTCTTTGTTCGTCCGTCACGACTTTGAAGCCATTGCCACATTCCTAACTTCTCGTCTACCCCCTTTCTAGATAATGTTCTCCTTGAGAATGGAAGTCACATCACACTCATTGTTTGTCCTTCCCAGTGTCTGGCTTGGTGCCTGGCGTCATTTGATAACTATGAAAAGCGCATTGTAGGCTGTGGAGTGATGCTCACTTGCTTCACTTTAATGTAGAATACCCAGCTCTCATCTCTGAGACATTTCACAACACACACACACACACACACACACACACACACACACACAGCAACTCTAGTGTTACCTCTGTGGAACAGTTCTGGAAGCAGAACAGTATTCTTGAAATTCAAAATTCAGCAAGAGAGCCTAACTCACTTTCCAGACACTTCATCCCCACCAGAAGAGCTAGCAGAAAGTAGGGCACAGGGTCTTTGCAGCTAAATTCTCTAAACACCCATGGCTTTCCCACCTGCTGAAGTCTAGCTGGTTAAGTGACTTTCTGAGCTCTAGAAGAACACATTCTGGAGAAATGCAGAGGGATGCCATGGGATGTCAGCTGCCTGGTGTGAGAATGTCTGTCTGCATCTGGTGTAACTGTCTACATGTGACTGTCTGTGTGTGCCTGACTGTGTGAGCCTGTCTGTGTGAGCCTATCTGTGTGTGCCTCCAGAGGAAGAAACACCACTCAGAAAGCCCTTGCATATCAGGACTTTAGCAATGCTCTTTATCAAAAGCTATCTACTTAAGACCCTAGCATTTCTAACCCCAATCCTAGTCCCTATACGCTGAGTTTTTTAATGCTCCATAACTGATCCCAGAAGAAGTACTGCTGCAGTACTTTGCAGTCCTTGTCCCCGGCCCACCTGTTCCTGGCCGCAGCTCCACGGTGCAGTAGCCCTCAATCCATTGATAGCTTGGAAAGTGAGTCACAGTGCCATCTGGGGCAGTGACACTGACTCGACTGCAGTACCAGGGGTCCTTGCAGAAGAAAGCAAAGCGCTCCTTGTGTAAGCGCAACAGCAAGATCTCACCCAGCTCTGCTGCACAGCGCACCTTGTACTTCTGAACCTGGAGTGATGGAGGCAGCAAGCAAGCCAGTGAGAGGCAAGGAACTGCGGGGGCATCTTTGCATTTGGAAAGGGTGCATCAGCACCTCCACTTACTCAGGCATATAAACCTGAGCAGTAGCTGATCCATGTGCTTCCTTTGTGTGAATGAGAAAAAGAGCCTGTCTTCATTCATGTAGAAGCAGGCACCACACTTAGTGCCTGTATGGAGTTTTGCTGGCGTTCCTAGCCTCCTTGGCCAGCAGGGCACTTTTATGTAAGGCCACTAGCAAACTATTATAGGGGCTGACAAAGGGAAGCAGACCCCTTGCAGAGAACAGAAAATCCATGGTCAGAGTAAGGAAGCTATTTGGCCAAAACCTTGTGTCAATAATGGGAGGAGCCAGGCCAAGTGGTAGTGGTGCACGCCTTTAATCCCAGTACTCAACGGGCAGAGGCAGGCAGTTCTCTTGTGTTCGAGGCCAGCCTGGTCTACAGAGTGAGTTTCAGGACAGCCAGGGTTGCACAGAGAAACCCTGTCTGGAAAAACAAAACAAAACATCAGGCAGCACTGGGTGTCTCTAACCCCCTCACTGGGTCAGAGCTTCTGGAGCTTGAT